ACACAAGCTATGAAAAGGATCACACTGCCATACATCAGAAATGTCTCAGAAACTACCAACAAACTATTACAACCACATGTCACCTCCGTAGCACACAAACCAACTAAAGCCCTCCAAAACATCTTAAGCAAATCAAAAATATTACTGCTGATACATAGCATTAAAGGATGTGTGATATTAAAAGGCCTGCTTTTTTCTCTCATTGCCACTTTCTCAGCTGGACAGATGCAATGTGCTTATCCCAGAAAAGCACATTTTAAAATATCAGTGATAACTTATCTTTTAAATAAGCAATGGATTGTTACCAACCACAGGTCATTTTATTCTCAATAAGACATTATGTTCTTGATACAATGAAAAGTTTATTTACACACCTCACTTGCTATTCATCTCTTACCTTACCTTTCTTGACACTGGTATACGTGAATTTAGCAAATGTTCTACCTAGTTTTAAACTGTTTTCAAGGAAGGCTACTTTCTGCTGCAGAATGAAGTAATTCAAAAAAAGTGACTTTTCGACTCTTAAAATATGATTTCCATTTCCTTCCTTTCCTTCCTACATTCTTGCCATATAGGAATATATTTGGATCACAGGATAAACTACAAGCCTGTTGGCTCCTTCCTTGAGTGAAGTGGCAGGAGATGGCTATCTATTGTTCAGAGCTTTCTGTGTCATTTTCTGAGTGCAGGTGCAGTTTAACCAGAGAACATTAGAATGGTTTGTTTATAGAAATGGCTGGATGATACAGTAATCTCAAGAGTTACTGTGAAGAAGCCATAACACTCAGGAGAAAGGGCCAAAGTCTTATTGAATAACACATGCATGATTGGTATGTTAGACTCAGATTTGTATGCATATGCCTGCTTTTCAATCATATGACCTCCCTGAGCAGGCTATAAATCACTCCGTCTAAGCTGAACTAAAAAATAAAGATAAATAAAGCAAAGAACCACCATGGAATTTGTCATGAAGCAGATGAACGATTGTTTGTTTTGAACAATTGACTTGATTTGCATAGAGCCTTGTAATTATTGTAGACATTATAACCATGCTGTATTGTCTCTATTTTCTACAATAAGAATAAATGAAATAGAGGTCTCTTTAATCATTATGAGCGATATCATCAACAGATTTATGCACTCATTCCCTTATTTTATTTTTCTTTCTTCTAGATGATTGCACCTCCTGAACGTAAATATTCTGTTTGGATTGGAGGCTCTATATTAGCTTCTCTGTCAACTTTCCAGCAAATGTGGATCAGCAAAGATGAATATGAAGAAGCTGGTCCTTCTATTGTCCATCGCAAATGCTTTTGAGTATGCTTACGATTTACTATAAGGGATCCCTTGTGATTTCTCACTATAGAGTTTCTTAGGGAGAGAGGGCGTATTTTAAGTTTTTCCCACTCTTCTAAACATATAATAAATGATTTTGTCAGTTAATTAAATGTTGTTTCCTGGGTGCCTAAAATATGCATCAGGTTTTGCATTCCAGTAACAAGCAAAGGAGAACAATGGCAATTGGAAAACTATTTCTTCAAACTCTTTTTCCAAGAAAATAATGTGGATTCAGAATTTTCCCACCACTTTTGGACAGCGAATTCAGTATTTTATACTTTGTAACAGAAGGGAAGAATAAGTGCACCAACATTTGCTCATACATGAAGAATTTAGCTATATAGCTTTTCAGAGAGAATTTCAGTGATTATTCATAAAAGCCTATGAACTGGGCTGAGATCAGATGACTTGCCCAAGAGCAACAGGGGTTGGGGTGGGGACAATCATAGTTAAGCTGCTATGACATAATGGAATGCTTGCAAACATCTGGCCATTGAGGAGAAAAATGTCAGGAAATTAACAATAATTAATGACTTCTGTATCAAACTGAAACTGCTTGCTTAGAGAAATCACTACAGAGAGATAGCTCTGGTATCACCATCTTCCTATCTCCTGCCGGCTGAAGGAACATACTTCTTGGGATTTGTGATTTTGGAAATGAATGAAGCAACCAAATTTTAGACTTCTTGTTTCCAGTCTAATGATTGCAATTGGCATTTCTATTATTTATGTGAATGTCTGTCTTGACACAATGGATACAGAAATTGAGAATGATTTTGGAGGACAGTATTTCATCTCAGTCATATCTTAAATTATGACTAGCCCAATCAGTGATGTGTTTATGCTTAAAATTATCAGTAGCTGTAATTTATTTTTTCCTTGCACTTCTGATCTCTTTGAACTGAACAGTCAAATTAGAGCTCCTGCTCAGGAAATGTCAGCCCCCCAAAAAACACAAACTCCCAAGGAATTCAGTAAGAATAAATACGTTTTTCAAATAAGATAGTTTGTTACATGTTTTTGCACTGAACTTTTATACTACTCTTCCTCCAAGAAGGAAGATTCTTAGGATAGGACTCTTCTAAGAAAGTCAAATGTTACAGCTGGGCAGAGGTTCTCTTTAGTCCTAGACTAGCATGATAACTAGTACAGCAGGAATGGGAACATGAATTCCCAGATGTTGCCCAGATATTACAAATCCCAGCAACTTCAAGATTGGTCATATAGGATGATGCTTCTGAGAGCTATATTTCAGCAATATTTGGAGAGCAACACATTCCCCACACTGGCGCTGCATCATGCAGGCCTTCAATATGATACAAAGCTGTTCAGTTTCTGGTGTCCTTTCTGCAGGGATGCATATTAGAATCTTGGAACTTTACATTTTTGCTTTGGGGTGCCATCATAAGGACCTGGTAAATTCATCTAACACACGGAGCATTGAAGGGTGGAGATTGCAACTCAACCTCTTGATCACTGGAGGACTGCAAGAAATTATGCTGGGAAGTCACCAAAATGGACATAGCTGAATTTTTTAAGCCTTCTTTTAAATTTTGTTCTTTTGTCTTTGGATGAGAATAAGACATGAAAGTCTTCTAGAGGATAATGGTTTCCATTCTTACTTTTAAAACCATCTTGAAACCTAGAGAGAAGTTGATTGGGGGACCCTTTGGGACTATTTTGGTGGCTTTTAGAAATGAGGCTCTCAGAAGACACTAGTTCCATTATTTCAACCTTTAAAGTTATCCTGAAACCTTAAAAAATGGGCTAAATCATACAACCAATTTTAGTCATATGGTCTTCATGCAGGGTTGAATGCATTCATGCAGAATGTTCTATTCCCCTTTCCAGTCCCTTAGTGCTTTGAGCAACTTGTAGTGCAATCCAGCACATACCTACCTGCTCAGATCTAAGTCCTATTAAATTCAAGAGGACTTACTCCCATGCAAGGGTATATGGGATTGCAGTTTCTGTGGGTTTTAATTCTGCTGCTGTTTTTGTTAGGCAAAAATTAAAACTTATAAATAAAAATAATATTTCAAAATATTTTATTATAATGATTGCTATCTTTAATGAGCATATAATTAGCTATGTAATGCTAATGTGACTTGCATTAATTGCAAAGCTAAGGTTCCAGTCTTAACCCTTTTATGTACATAACGGCGGCATTATTAAATAGGTATAATTAAGCAATCAGAATAGTCTAACTTAATCTGTTTATGAAAATCATTTAGATACAGTCAAAGAATGCTAATGAAGAACTATTTTGAGGTGAAATTTGTAGCAAACCAAAGTGAAGGGAAATGAGAGAATGAGAAAAATGAACTTGCAAGCCGTAACTTTTTATCACCAAGGTGTACCTATCTGATTCAGTTCTCACTGTTGGAAAATTACTACAGGTAATTTCCAGTTTAGCTTGCATCCAGCAAACTCCCAGTCACACCTGAGATCCAGATCAGAGCAAGTACACATGCCGCTTAGTTCAGCTAGGAAAAAAAAAAAAAGCTTGATGTTTATTCAGTAAATATTGGGGAACATGAAAACTGAAAATACAGACAAAAGTCAGGTAAAAGCAGTGAGAAGAGGCATGAAGAACATGTAAGAAATAAAAAAGGCAAAGTTTTTAACAACACCAATCCACATTATCTATCTATATCAAAAGACACAGAAGGTTCCAGAGCTACAGGAAACAATATGTCGGTAATTAGCATGGAGAGTCCCATAGAGAATATCTTTAGTTGTTCCAGTCTTAACCCTTTTATGTACATAACGGCGGCAGAATAGAGAGGGAAAGTGGGACACCAGGTGATTGCTCCTCTATTCTGCACCCTAAAGGAAACAGTTTGGTGGGCATGTATAATGTATCCAACATGCATCACATAGGCAGTGGGAAAGGTTCAATAGCCTGACCCCACAAGGGGAAAGAAACACCTGTTTGTTTACAGCTAAAGTGTAATTTATGGTAATCTTCATTCTGACCTAAAGAACTCAGGTTGTAACCCCCTTTTCAAATTAGTATGGCTGTTGTTGTAAAGTTTATACACAGTGAATTACAACAGCTTTCCACAATCTGGCGGAAATATTTTGGACTAGAACTACCATCATTTCTGCTTCAATACATGTGAGGGGTAGTAGTCCTTGCGTACCAATCACTCGTTCAGTGACAATTCAAAGTTATGAAGGTGTTGAAAAAAGAGGCGACTGGTCTTCAAAGTTGTGAATCAATTAAAAAACCAATAACATTAATATACACATAGTGGTAGTCTTCAAATGGGCAGGACTTGAGTTATTGAGCAGCAAAGGGAATTATCCTCACGAGAAGGCTCAACAGAACCCAAGAGTAGCTTATTTTGCTATACTTTTATCTTTCACTGCCCACTTTATATATCAGGCCAACCAACAGCTTATTAAGGCTGTGCAGTGTTTTCGATTTATCTCCAGGTGTCTGGGAGCACTCAGAAGTATGAATATAGTATCAGTCTGCAATGTCATAGAGCATCTGCATCTTTTCCCAGGATCATGCAATTGCTTTAATAAATTTAAACTGCCAGTAATTACATTAATCATATAATCACAAAAGTTTACTTCTGGCTTCCGGGGGAGGAATGGTGGATTGAAGACGTCTCTGCGAAAGTGAAGCCAACAACTGTGGCAAAGAATGAAGAGTTGGTGAGTAGACCGGCTCTTCAGAACCTCTCCGGACAAAGAGAGGGCAGGAGAGTGCCCACATGTGCTCCAGATGGCTGCTCCTCATGAGGAAAGTACAGGACAGCAGTCTCCTGTGGGTCTGAGCGCTGGGAGACAACAGGAATAGACATCTTGCTTGCAACCACAGTTAGGGCCTTTTAAAAGATGCTAAGTTTGCTAACGTCACTTCCTAATCACTTTTGGAAATTCTCATTAATTACTTTTAAGCTATTAGAGACCTTCAGAATGGCAAGTTTGAAAATGCTGGGTGAGTTTGCCTTCGATCCTGAATGAAAGAAAATTTAATTGTAAGCTTAAAAAATTAAAGAATCTGAAATAAACAGCAAAAGGCTAAATAGGTTTTTGATCTTAGAAAGTTATAAATGAACTAAGAGTCTGGATAAATTTGGAATATTGAAACTTTTACAATAAGATTTTTGAATTAGTTATAAAGAACAAACAGTTTCTTGTGGGAAACAGATCCTGTTTTGGTTTTTGCAAGATATAACATAAATAAGTAATTTCATGATTTTAAAAACTGGACACTAGAGGGGACTTAGGTAGAGGATCAAAAAATACAAATCTACAATATGATGTAAAATGTTATAACAATGAAAATACTGAAGGAGACGTTTAAAGAATGGAGTCAGAAAACAGTAGTCACAACATCAACAATGTCAGTAATGATGTCTGTTTCTATGGATAGACTATGTCCAAAAGATTCTATTGAAGAAATGACAGATGTAGAACAAATTTTATTTGACAAGATAGAGATGGCATTGAAAGTGGATTTATGACTGACAGGCCAAAAGAATGACTTAGAAAAGGATGTTTCACTGGATCTACAAAAGAAAGTGGCTGATGGTTTAAAATTTAAAAGGGAAATACAAATGACAAACCATGAGAGTGACATGGACAATTTTTTCTATTGGACTTACAAAAGAAGCTTGTTAAAGCCTTGAAGAACTTTGTGCAATGGAACAAAGAAGAAATGAAGAGAAATCAAATTCTACAACAATATTTGAATGAACTAAAGATTAAGGCTGTTTAGAAGTAAAAGGAAGGAATATAAAGTTGGTTTATTTGATCAAGATTAAAACAAGATATGTTGTTACTTATGGCAACACTTTATGGACTTTCTGCTGTCACCAGGACTAGAAAGAGGATGTTTTATGGATTTGTTTATAGATAAGAGATGGGATATGGGATGAAGAGATAATTGTTTGCAATCTTAGAGGGGGTGAACAGTCACTAAATTTGTTTATACTTGTAATAAAGGTTGGAAATCACTTTATATATTTTTTTCTTTTTCTTTATTATATTCTTACTTTTCTCTTTCTTTTATTCTTTTTCCTTGCACTTTTTATTCCTACTTTCTCTTCTCTTTAAGTTTAGTTTGTATTACATTTTATTATTATAATCAAAATTCTTAATAAAGTTATATACAAAAGTTTATTTTTGAAACAGATTTGATTCAATAAGTAGAGTATTTTCCTTCTTAATTTTAAAATATTTGCTTCTTTCTAAAGGAGGAATCACTAAATTATCCAGAATCCAAGTTACTATCGTTTGATATGTAACTTGCAGAAAAAAGAAAATGCACTTAAAAACAACAAAACCACTTGTTTACTAACAGATTTTGAAATAAATGTAAACTTTTCACAAACTTTGAGAAAACAAAGTATTACCTAGGCTTCCAGGTTTGAGAAAACAAAGTATTCCTTTAGCTTGATGAAGTATTAACTAGGCCTCCAGGCCTTCTTTTTCCCAATGAGCTGAAATAGATAAATTAATCCATTGGTGCCATATGTTGTCCTTTCCCCAAAACCTTCAGGAATGATTTTTTTATTTTTTTTATTTTTTTGTCCCTTCAAGTCAGTGTTAACTCCTGGTGACTGCCTGGCAAGTCCCTGCAGTTTTCTTGGCAAGATTTTCAGAAGTGGTTTGTCCTTGCCTGCTTCCTACAGCTGAGAGAGTGACTGGCCCAAGGTCACCCAGCTGGCTTTGTGGCCAAGGTGGGACTAGAACTCATGGTCTCCTGGTTTCTAGCCTGGTACGCCAAATTGGCTCTCTTCAGGAATTATTAGTAAAGCTGAAAAGATGACCCAATTTACTTTTGGGATCTTCATGTTATACAGTACTTGCCTGCTGCTGCTAAGCTTAACTATTAGTTATCAGGCAGAAGGACACTATCCCTCTTGTCTCACAAGACTGTTTATCTGTGGTCAGCTTCCACATGGTTTAGGAGAACATTTCAATGAACCAACAGTGTAGGAGGCAGATGATCACAAGTGTCGGCCCTTTTCTTGGTGTG